GGCTTCCCCAAGTCAGCCGGCAGTTAATGTGGCAAGCCGAAAGGACGTTAATGTGGCAAGACGAAAGGACGTTAATGTGGCAAGCCCGAAGGACGTTAATGTGGCAAGCCCAAAGGACGTTAATGTAGCAAGCCCTAAGGACATTAATGTGGCAAGCCCGAAGGACGTTGATGTGGCAAGCCCGAAGGACGTTAAAGTGGCAAGCCCAAAGGACGATAGTTCTCTGTCCGCCTGTGAACGTCTTCCTGTGTTCCTCTCCCTTGGTTCCTTGGTGCAAATAAAGTCTTGGTAAAGTATTCTCCAGTGTCTCCTCGTTCCTCATGTGTGTGCATCGTGACACCATGAAACTGTTATTTTATTAACTATATTTCTTTGTCCTTATGACACTATTTCATTTTTTTCCTTGCATTTTTCCTTGTACCCAGCGTGAATGTGAATCGACGGCAGTGTTATTTTAGTACCATTGATATACTATTATAGTTTTTGCTAATATTTTTAATAACTGTAAATTTTATTTTATATTTTCTGTTTTCTCTATAGTTTTAGTTTAATTTTAATTTAGTTGTTTTTATTAGTGTTTTTATAATTGTAAAAGTTTATTTTATTTGATATTTTCAGTTTTCTCTAATTTGTTTAATTTTAATTGTGATGTTTTTATTAGTGTTTTTATAATTTTAAAAGTTTATTTTATTTGATATTTTCAGTTTTCTCTATAATTTGTTTTATTTTAATTTAGTTGTTTTATTAGTGTTTTTATCGTTTTAAAAGTCTATTTTATTTAATATTTTCTGTTTTCTCTATAATTTGTTTAATTTTAATTTTGTTGTTTTAGTGCTTTTATAATTTGAAAAGTTTATTTTATTTTATTTTATATTTTCTGTTTTCTCTATAATTTGTTTAATTTTAATTTTGTTGTTTTAGTGCTTTTATAATTTGAAAAGTTTATTTTATTTTATTTTATATTTTCTGTTTTCTCTATAATTTTAGTTTAATTTTTATTTTGTTGTTTTTATTAGTGTTTTTATAATTTTAAAAGTTTGTATTAGCATTTATTTATTTTAGTACAAAAATGAGAAATGTCTCTGAAATAAAATAAGGTTAAAGTTTTTTTTATTTATTATTATTTCAGCTAAAGATTGTATTTCAAGTAACAAAAATGTTTTGCATGGTTTTAGTTTTAGTTAAATATAATAACTCTGAACGACCGTCAGACTGTCATTCTTAAAATCAATTTGAATCATGTTACCATGTTGTAGTTCCTCATTAAATTCCCAGCCACTGGAGAGTAACTTCACCAAAGCCAATTTTTCCCCACATGTGGCGTTTAATGACCCTGGTTTCAGCCCGTATCTGATTCTTCATTTGCTGTTCTGTTCTAATACTGCGTTTGATTGATGTGAGCTGGTGTTTTGGCAGGTGCTGGAAGGCTTGTTGACGTTGAATAATGAACTGGCGGTGCAGATTGATGCCCATGACACACTGTGGGGCGAAACAGGTACGTTCAGTTCTTCTTCGTGTTTTTATCTCTCGTCTCTCTCACAGTGTCATTATTTCTGTTCCATTAGGAGTCAGAATTGCAGTCAGTGGGAAGCTTGTAGTGAATTGTGGGTGTCTGTAGATACATACATCATCAGTAACGAGCCATGCACTGCAAAAAATGGCTTATCTTACTTAGTATTTTTGTCTTGTTTCTAGTCAAAATATCTAAAAATTCTTAAATCAAGATACTTTTACTAGATAAGCCAAATGACTTAAGATATTTAGTCTTGTTTCCAGGGGAAAAAAAACTAAATTAAGTGCATTTTGCTTAAAACAAGTAAAATTATCTGCCAGTGGGGTAAGTAAAATACTCTTGTTTTAAGAATGTAAATGAGAAAATTAAAAATGAGGCAGATAATTTTACTTGTTTTAAGCAAAATGCACTTAATTTCGTTTTTTTTTTCCCCTGGAAACAAGACTAAATATCTTAAGTCATTTGGCTTATCTAGTAAAAGTATCTTGATTTAAGAATTTTTAGATATTTTGACTAGAAACAAGACAAAAATACTAAGTAAGATAAGCCATTTTTTGCAGTGTGGGATAAGGCTGCACGATCTTGGTATTTTTAGCCTTTTTAAAGGTGTTCTATATATGGCTCAAAATCTGTAATTAAATGTCAAATCATGTAAAAATGCAACATCTTTTATTGGAAGACTAAACAACATTTGATCCAATTTTGATAATTGCTTTAATCTTTTAAACAACTGAGAAGTTGAGAGAAGTAAAAATCACCTGTCAATTTCAGTGATGTAAATATATACTTACGTGCATGTATGTATTACGAAGGTTAAGTCTCTGACAGACAGCTAGTTCTTCTCGGAAAGCGATGATGTAGTCAAAACATCTGTAGTGTGTGAAGTGTGTGTACTTGCTAGATCTCTGCTTCTCGTAAATACTAGCGTGTTTTGTCAAGTCAAGTCACCTTTATTTGTACAGCGCTTTATACAATACTGATTGTGTCAAAGCAGCTTTACAGTGTTAAACAGGAAAATAGTCTGTCAATAATGCAAGACGACAATAACAAAGAGTAATTTTTCCAGCTAAAGTCAGTTCAGTGCTGATTCAGTGCTGTCATCATCCAGTTCAGCTCTCAAATTTTTATTGTGCACGTTATTTTTTGACAGACATCCATGTTGTGATATTAAAATGATGTAGATTTGAAAACAGATGGATCATAAGTTGATAATTATTTATTTCTTAGCCAGCAAGTATTCAGTGAAGTGATTGATGGCTTTGAGTGTGTTATGTCCATGTTTTTATTCCAACCGACAGCCAGCCTAGGTTTTTGACGGACGTGATAACGTGCATAAGGGGGAACTGTTTGATTTTAGGGTATTATAAAATGTGCTGGAGATGGTCAAAATGCTTTATGCGTAGTTCATTATACTTATTTTACAGAATGAAGTTTATTTCACAGCTTAAATTACGTTACTCAGAGACTGACATGTTTGGCTTGTAGAAAACGTTACATTTAGCCGTTGCAAATTAATTGACTTTTTCGGTGGTTTTGACGCACAGTTGTGTTTAAAGTCTGTTACAGGCTTTAAACAAAAATATTTTATTTTAACCCATGAAAATGCAGATCCAGTTTTTTTGGGGGGCACTTTAAAGAAGCTTTTGTGCAATGGAAAATCTCTATGGAAGTTCTTCAAGGAACCATAATGGCAGCAAAAAAACAACAACATGTATTTATTTGATTATTTATTTACTTTATATAAGAGTGAAGAGTGATGCATCTAACACTGGCCTCTCTATTGCTAAATCCTTAGTGATTTATATACTCTCTTTAGGTTAAGTAAAGTAAATCACTAATAATCCAGCATTGTGAGCAGACGTCTCAGGACCGATATTGTTGGATAAGCTGTTATTGTCATCTCTGGTGCTGTTCGAAGGGGTTTGTGACAGACTAGCGCTGTGATGATGAGTGACTCAGCTGCGTGTGCAGTCTGATGCTGCTCTACATTATGATTATTCGAGTTTAAGGTTTGCTGTAGATTGTGAGTTTGAGATGTGGCTGCAGTCACGAGTCCATTAAGGTCAGACGTGGGCATTCATCTCATTTAATTACACATCTCTGCATCCGATGTGACCTTCAGTGGCTTTATGTGCCGCTGTAAAGGAAGAGATACCGCTGTATTGTATCTATTGTGAGATAGAGGGAGAAATGAAGTCAATTATCCAGAAGAGACTGTGAAAAATCCTAGATTTAATCTTTAAAACAAACCGTGTGCATCTCAGCGGTTTAAGGAACGCAAAAGATAAATACAAGACCTTGAGCTAATAAGTGCATCGTCACTTTAATGACTTTTTATGATGAATGTTTGATTATTTAATTGGTACTTATTGTACATTTACTGTATGGTGAAGCTTGCATTTCATTCATGGTACACATACTGTACGTGGGTGGTCGTGTGTTTAAATGCATTCATCTTTCTGAAGCTGTAGTAGTTTAGTTTCAATAAGAGCTCTGTGTTCACTGAGGAGGAAGTTTTGAGTTACAGTATGAGATAGAAAGCTTCAGTATATGACATGAGGCCACACAGATGCATTATTTATGTGTGTTTGTGGTGTGTGTGCATTGAGGAAGCCAGCAGAAAGTTGAACCCGAACCGATATTCAACAGATACGAGTGTTAAAGCAACACAGGCCTTTCTCCAGGCAGCTGTTTACCTCAGAAAACCTGAAACGAGACACCTTCTCACTGAACATGGGTTTTCCTTTGGCTTTCTAAGAGTTATTTTAGAAATTATTTTAATTTCCAGGCATGGGGAAAAAAAATCTTAATAAAAAATGTAATTATAAGAAATTGCTTTTAGTATTTTAAATTGATTACAAATAAAATATATTTAATTTTCTTTTTTTTTTCTTGTTTTTGTTTTTTTAATACATTTTTTAAATGTATACTTTATTTTTTAAATTGATTTTATAATAATGAATAAATCCTTTCATTAATTCAATATGGATTTCAAGGCCTGGAAAAATCATGAAAATGTATTTAAATCTTTTAGTATCTAAATATAAACATAAATATTTTATTAACTGCAGATTGTTCTTTGACAGTGTAATCTTTGTAAAATTATTATAAGTCTAGTAATCATCAATGACTGAAAAAAAGAAAATACAGTAGGAACCCTGAATTTGAACCTTGTGCATGAAACAATATGAATTCATTTCTTTAAAATCATTCCCCATAAAGAGAAATACGGGCTAGGTTCAGGTGCTGACTGTTTTTTAGAAGCGGTTCTTCAGCACCAGAAGAGCAGAGATGTTCATTTCTTTTGAGTACTCTTGAGTTCTTTAATCTTCAGACCAGGATCAAACCTCTCTGGTCCTGGACCAAGCAGAGCTCAGGTGGTCATTTCCTTTATCAGACCTCCAAACACATCTTTCTCAAGCGCTCTGGATTCAGCAGATCCATTATAAAAGGCTTTGGGGAAAACTTGTGGGTTTTCTCCTGTTCAGATGTGTATTTCCCTGAGTAAACTTTGTCAGTGTGCTGGCTTTTGTTTTTGTGTTATTGATTATCAAGCCCATAATTGTGTTTCTTCATTGTTGGAATTGCAGTCCTGCTAAACGCTTTTTAGTGAAACTGTTATGATGCACTGAAATGAAATTCAGTGTGGCTGAATTTTATTCCTCTGATTGCAGAGTGTCTAATTAATTACTATGTGTTGTCATCAGATAAAGTTGTAATGTTTCTAATGTTGCTTGGATGGATGGATGGATGGATGGATGGATAGATAGATAGATGGACAGATGGACGGACGGACGGACGGACAGACAGATAGACGGATGGATAGTTAGATGGATGGATAGACGGAATGATGGATAGTTAGATGGATGGATGAATAGATGGACGGATAGATGGATGATGGATGGATTGATGGACAGACGGACGGATAGATGGCTATATGGATGGATGGATGATGGATAGATGGATATAGATTTCCTGTTTCTCGGCACAATGAACTCTATGTCAGAAGATCAGAGAGATCTGGATTCCTATGATTTGAGCTCTTTGATTTGTGTCAGATTTTTTGTGTGGATCCAGACCGCAAATTCAGTGTTTATAGATGCATTGTGGGGGATCGTGTGGTTCTGCTCAGGTTAGCAGTCGCCGTCCATGTTGAAGCGGTTTGGTGATTGTCACTTCTCTTGTTCCTTCTTCTTCTTCTTGTTTCTTGAGCTCTCGCTGTCTGATGGATGAGCTGCACTGTCAGACAGACAGATAGATCTGTTAGCATTGACCTACACATGAATCTCCAGCTAAGAGCCACTGTGGAATATTAGATCTGCTCTGCAAAACATTAAAGGGGTCATATGACATTGCTAAAAAGAACATTATTTTGTGTATTTGGTGTAATGCAATGTGTTTATGCGGTTTAAGGAAAAAAAAAACACATACTGTACATTATTGTTGCTCCTCTATGCCCCGCCTTTCTGAAACGCGTCGATTTTTACAAAGCTCATTGTTCTGAAAAGCGAGGTGTACGCTGATTGGCCAGCTATCCAATGCATTGTGATTGGCCGAATACCTCAAGCGTGTGACGGAAATGTTACGCCCCT